CCCTTGTCAAGCGCATTCAGAAGAAAATCAGTGTACAATACCAGATTAGTATCAACACTCCTACCTCGGAAGAAGCCGTGTTGTTGCTGCGAAATATGATGAGACACTGTAGTACTAAGATCATCCACTACAATCTTTTCAAAGATTTTACCAAGTACACATAACTTAGAGATCGGTCTGTATTGTCGCACGTCATGTTTATCACCACCCTTCGGAATAGGAGTGATTAGGGCCCTTTTCCACATATCAGGGAAATGCCCTTCCTTAAGTGATTTAATGTATATAATAGAAAGGGGGATAGATAGTTCCTTAGACAATTTAGAGATAAAAAGAGGGTGTACACCATCCAAACCAGCACCCTTATTAACATCAACCCGTCCGAGATACTTTTCAACAAGACTATTTGTTATATAAATATTCGAGACATTGATAAAGGATTCTAAATAAGTTGATTCATCAAGAACGGCAGACGCGTCGTAGGGGGGGCTGGCCGGAATAAACACGGAATGAAAATAATTATTAAAAAGATTGCAAATAGTTTCTCCGTCAGTAGCAGAGAAGCCATCCATGGTCATATAAGACGGTGTATTGTTATGACAAAATTTAGACTTGATAAAACTCCAAAAATATTTCGGAGATGATGTAATTTTTTCTTCTGACAATTTTATATAATCATTGTAACATTCTGTTTGTAATTTCTTTTCGCGAGAACGTAATAATTTAAACTGCTGATAATCGCGAGGATCATTATATTTTTTCCACCTAGAATGGATTTTTAATTTTTCACGAATTAATTTAATGAGTGCCCGGGAATAAAAAATAGGATGCTTGTTATTAAATACCTTACGATTTGGAACATAAACTTCAATTAATTTATGTATAACAGAATAAAAATAGGCTACAGCAGTTTCCGTGTCCATACCGTTTAGCATTTGCCAATTTATATTTGCTAGATCTGTACGCAACCCATCATAATCCGCGGCATGAAACATATATTTTAATTGAACATTGGCCTCTAAATGTACCGAGTGAGGGAGCGACAATAAAAATTCAATAGCCTTATGATGAGGGTCCTCTTTGGTTAATGGTGAAGCAACAGTAACGCGGCAATCGCAGTTACTTAAAACTAGGTCCAGTATGCGACCATTGGCGTTAGAACAATTATTAAATTGTTTTAAATTTGATAAACACATGAAATCAGAAAGTGCAGTAGCCTTGGGGTCATTATTTGCGTTCAAAGTGAGATAAGAACTCTCTGTTAATGACCACAAAGCGTACGGAATATTAAAATCTCCTAATAGTAAAAAAGAATCATCTGGAAACTGTAGCATCCGGTCGTATACACTATCAAAAAATAATTGCAATGCGTTTAAAAGAGCCGCACCGCGTTGCGGAAAGTATCCGCAACCTATATGAATAAAGGAGGGAGAGTGTGAGGCGCGGGAGCGGGCGCGGGAGTGGTGCGAAGGCGCCGGACTCAACTCTAAGGTTAGCCACAATTCCTCTGAGTCATTAGTGGAGCACCAGTCGTTGCGGCGGCGCACACGCATACCTGAGCGAACGGCGATCATAACGCCCCCACCCACCTCACCGCCCGCGTCATGCCGGTCGCGGCGATAAACATCATAATCAGCAGAGAAATATTCGGCATCCTTAAAATCTGGTGTTAACCAGGTTTCTGTCAAAATAATCAAATCGTAGTTATTAAGTAAAACATTTGATGAAAATATGTGACTCTTAGTACGTAATCCCCTCGCGTTTTGATAGTATATTTTAAGTGAATTTAAGAGGGTCATTATGATGTAAAATAATAAACAAATATGAAAGCCTACAAATTACGCCTGAATACACATGATATAAATAGTTTAATATGAATATAAAATTAGTTACAGCAAAATTATATAAAGTATTAGTGTTTTTAAAGCGACATTTCACTTTTTTATAATGACATAGTATGTAGTTACATAAACGATTGACATTTAACGTACGAGTAAATTGTGAAATTGTAGAAGATATAGGAAATATTTGCTCACAGTAGTGGAAAAGATATTGGTACCCATTGCATATAAAAGTGGTAATACAAGTTAACGATATCAGATATGGATTTATATAAAGGAAGGTTAGTCAACGTAATTTAGAAAGATCTGATTCATTAGCCACTCTTATTATAGCGGACTTATCATTTTTACGTAAAAATATTCTACAATCTCTAATCCAAAGATAAGTGTAATTCAATGACGTTTTTAGATCTCGGGCACGTTTAAGAAGGAGTTTGTTCACAGGAGTTAGGTGCTCGTTAACGTACACATTAATTGCTGCTCCCGACATTCCGATATCAGCTGTAGTGAGACCACGCCGGGCTCGCACCGCCGCCATCAGCTGATTCTTGCGTTTACGTTGTGTGAAGCGCACAATAATTGACGGGTGGCGGGTATCCGTTTTACCCTCACCACGAAACGGTTGAACTCGATGAATAATGTCGATGTCAGTGTCTAATAAAGTCACACCCACCTTAGTGCAAATGTCGTAGAATATTGAATGCAAATTTTCACCGTTCTTTTTTGGAATACCTTGAATTTCAACATTATTTAGTCTCGAAAATTGATCCTGATTATTATTTTCTTGTTTTAATTCGTCAAATGCACGCTGGGTATCTGTTAATTGTTTTTGAACCGTAGCGATCGTTGCCACTTTTCTTTCGACAGTAAGCAGACGCTCATCCATTCCATCAACACGCACTACCATTTCACTCCACTTAGAATTTAAGTCCGATATATTTTGTGTGGCAATGTGTAGGTCTTCTTTAATCGATAACATATTGTCCTTCATTGTGACGAAATCCGCTCGGAATTCTTTGATCTCCTTTACAAGCTCAGCTAAGGTTTCGTTTTGTGACTCCGCATTAGATGGAACAGCACGGCATAACACACAGCGCCATGCAGATTTTTTTTGCTGATTCATTTTCCTATATGTAGACTCAGTGACTCCAGCACAATGATAATGATAGCTTCCACTGCAACGTCCCCCATTACAGGCCACAACATCAATAACTGGTTCATTACACTTAAAACAAAACATTTTTGACTAATGTTGACAAGCGCTCGATAATCTCAATATAAATATCCGCATGCGCGCAACTGCGAGATGCGCGTGCGCAGTGTACAAACCCGAGCGACGGAATGATGAGTTTGGGTGTAATTTGTGGTTGTCTATTTGTGCGTCCATGGCACCCGCGACACAGGGTTTCCCTAGTGCGAGGATGTGTTGAGTGTGTGCGTTATTACTAAAAAAAAGAACGTTTAAGGTCGTTTTTTTATAAAAAAGTGATTTACTGTATCAAACAGCGTGACGAAAGTAAACCCTCCTTTTTGAAGAGTTTTTAATGATCTCAGTAGAGTGAAGTTTATAGAAGAATCCTTTTGTCAAATTTTTGAACAGACAGAAGTTTTTTTACCAATTATCTGTTACAAGAACCAGATATATCGCACTAATATTACCATTAGACCACAGAGCATCGTCCCTGAAGCTGTGAGGTCGGCACTCCGCAGTGGTAATTACGGCACGTACAAGATGCTCCCTTCACCGGCCCAGGACCTTGGTCCGTGGGTGACTAACACCAAATCGGTGATGATTGACTATCATTAACTGTGTGATTCATGACTCTATCTACCTGTATCTGTGATTTTATTGAATTAAGTAGACTGGGCAATACTTGAATTTAAGGCTATAATGATCCTACATTATGATAGTTTAAAATGATAATTTTGTGTTTTAAATATTTGTATTTGTTCCGTATGTACGTTTTGAATATTAGCATATACATTGTGAAGAAAAATAATGTGAGGAAAGCTGTTTTCTTATAGAAGTTTGCTAAAGCAAAAGATAAGATTGCTAGTGACTTTGCTAGTTTTAATGTAGAGTCAAATTTAGAACATAAATTAGGAGCGCTGCTGTCAAGTCGCAAGTCTGTAGCGCTTCTACAAGCGTTAAATTTAAACGCGCCCTAAAATAATGCTTAATAATTTATTTGAATATAAAGTGTATAATTAATTTGTTTTCAGTCTATAAGAGACGTGTTTATGGATTTACGTGACTGATCAGGTCACGTAATAAAAAAAAGAAAATAAAATATTAAAAAAATAATAGGTATTTATAGAGACTGCAAAGTTATTGTTTGACCAGAGTGTTTGTATTGAAACCTGAGCAATCGAAGGCTAAGATTGAAAAATAGATTCCTGAGCGTAGCGAGGGTTTCCAGCCACGAGACGCAAAACATCTTTGCTGCCGAGTGAAACGCACAACTTTTCACCTCACTATAGCGAGGAAAATGGTAGATGAAAGAAAAACAGTTGTACATCAGTTTTTTTAATTGAAAGAAAAGTTATCTTCGGATGCGTTCTGAATTTACACCTCATCAATCTTTATTCTTGCTTGTACTTTTATTTTGTGTGATTAAGGGATTATTGAAATTATTTTAGTTCTTCGACGAGTTTTAAGTTATCATTGTCAATTTAATGTCAACAATAAGTCCATAGTCAAGTTCAAATTGCAAAAACCTTTTTCACACTAGCGTGCAATAAACACTTTTGCGTGCAGATTTCTAATGACAAAGAATGTCTACCAGAGCTAAGGAGGTGAAAAAAAAAATGAATATAGTGGTATAACTTTACATTAAAAATGTATAAACTTAAACTAATATGAATTTTACCTAACTTATATTATAGTTTATTTATTTGTGGCAAATGTTATAATCAGCAGTACAAGTCTTGAATTGAGACTACATTTCTTTTGCGAAGGATATAAGTAAAACAAATTGATTTATTATAGTATTTTATTGATAATATACATATTATTACGTAGATATCTATTTATAACTTTGTACCAATCTCTACATACGTAATGGACGGAAAATAATAAGAGAATAATTTACCTAAATACCCCAAAATACTAACAAATTAACACCTAATTATTTACAAAGACGTAGTTTTTAAATTTAATAAAACCATTTTTTTTTACCTCTCGAAAAGTATAATTGGTTTTAGAAATTAGAACTTATTGTATCTAAAATATCACTGTTTTATTGTCTAGTTAAATGTTTGAAGATGATTCTTATATCTCCAATCCGGGTCGCATGTCATTATTTCCAAGAATTTACAGCTATCAAAACTAAAAATAACAATTGACCAAATTGTCTTGCTCTATTTATTACACATAACCAATCGAGCGTTGTATTGTTTTCACTCGCTATAGATTTTAAGTTGTACATCCCTCGATAGAACGCCATTATGAGCTTCAAATCATTTGTCAACAAATTAGATCAGCTCTTTGCCTCAATAATTCTAATCGCAGCTCGTGCTCCCTAGCAGCCATTCGCAAAGCCGCGATACTAGAGCTTCTAACATCGTCCATTGCCGACTGTGGCGGCAAAGATTCACTTCCAGGCGATATTGGCGGGGAAATGGATGGCGAACGAGTCGATCTGGTCGCTTCACGGATCCCTGCTCTATTAGCTTCTATTGGAGATCGAGTTTCAGGTGACAATCTCAGTTGTTCTGGTGATAATCGCTCAGGTGACAGGCGTGGCGGTTCGGGAGCGGTCAAGTTGGCGAACAAAGAGTGGAAGTGAGCAGGAGAAGTGGCGTAGAGCGGGGCACCAAAGAGTTGCGGACGAGATAACGGTGATAGGTATTGACTGCCGAATAGAGGTGCGCTCGCGTACCTGTTAAAAAACAAAAAGAAATGCTGATACAGAGTTTATCGAGTTCGTAGGTTTTCGCTTTAGATTTTTATACATTTGGAAATGAACTATTTTTTCCGATCTGAATATCTGGCCGACTTTCAGACAGACAAACGATCCCCTGATGATAATTGAAGAAATAGTCGTGTGCATACTTAATACTAGACCAACTATTTCCATAACACAAAGCACTTGTGTTATGGAAATGGGAAACAATGACGGTACCATAAACACCCAAATTCGCGAGAATATAGAAAGTTAGTTTTCTACATTGACTCAGCCGGGCGTCGAACCCGGGACTTCAGAGGTGGCGATACAATGAAAACCGGTATGCAAGCCACTCAAGCACGGAAGCCGTCAAGTTATTGGAAATCTAAAATCTAAATCGCGTATATATTTGTTTTTGCAAACAAACCAACGATTCGGGCCCTTTACATGTCCCATGGTCTTGGCTGGTTTTTTCTTTTACTTTTTTATCACGTAGGCTGCCTATAATATTGACAATTGCTATATTGAATACATGATGACTTATATTTTGTATTGATGAACCAACCTGCTTTGGCATATCTGGAGAATTATGCCTATATCGTGGCAAGAAAGCCGTAAAAAGCCTTGGTATTTAATGAATTACTAAGTAAAGTTTTTGGTAGCAGTAGAGCTCCTTGTAAAAGAGTTGGTCTAGGGAAATTCTGCCACCTTAGCTATTTCTGCCGCCAAGAAGTAATGTGAGCATTATTGCGTTCCGGTTTTGAAGGGTAAAGGTGCTGGTAATTACAGGCACATGGGACTTAATAACTTATATCGAGTGACGGCCGCAGTAGCAGTGCTTCTATATATCTTTGGGATTTAAAGCTCTGGGACTGCTATGAACAGGCATGTCGTTTTGTATAATAAAAAAAATCCTTCGACTTACCTAAAACTGGCGAGGCTGTCAAAAGGCTTTCTCAAACCAAATCCAAGTTGACTCAAAGGATGTGGCGGGGCGGTGAGCGGTGCGGCCATGGGTAGTGGTTGGCCTGCTCCTAAATACCCGCTATAAGGATGTGCTTGTGGCCCCACCTTTTCCTGTTTGCGCCACTTCGCACGCCGGTTTTGGAACCATACCTTTAAAAAATATTATTAAATTGGATTTTTTGTAAGAATATTAATGTGGCTTATTAAGATAGTAGTAAAAATATTATAAATGACGTTGAAACTATATAAACAAAAAAAATTGTTTATTTTCCCTAGGGCAACTTCACGTGTCATTTTTTTATTATTTTTATAATTAATTTTAATAAACGAGATAAGTATCTACTGAACTAACAACATGATACCTAATTACCGTCTAATAATAGGTAACTGTCCTTCTCCATACAAGGTACGTTCTAATGAATTGTAAATCAGCAATTTTGCTATTGAATGTAATTGAATAAAAATTACAAGAACGCGTACGTGTTGCGTATGAACAACTAATGCAGTCCTTTTAGGGAAAAACCGGTTTCAATATGGGAACGTTGCACAAAAAAATATTAATTTACAAAGGGCTTTAAGGTTGATTGATATGTAACTTAATCGTGCGACACGACGCCTATTTTGTTAAAAATGTAAGTTTATTACGAAACTAATTTATCATTTAGTATATACCTTAACGACGGCCGTACTTTGCTGGCTATTACATAATATTACGTATATACCATGTAATACGATTTTTGTTTCTGTGTTATCAATATAATTTTTTGTTTGGTTCTGTCATAAAAATATCAATGAACTTTATTTCACTACAAAAACTTTGTTTTTGTGGTCAGGATAACGAAAAGTTGAAAACAAATAAATTGTTGTTGAACAGTTGTACAAATTTTCGGGTTTCTTTTTATTTAAAGACAAAAAGGGAACATCATATTTCGAATCAATATATAACATTATGTTATATACATAACAACTTGTACTAATGTGTAGTTTTGCGAGATTATGTAAATACCCACCATGTATGTAGCTTTTTTTTACATAATATTAAGAGACGGGACGGACTAGTCGTGCGCCTGATGGTAAGCTACACGCCTGTCCATGACACTTGCAGTGCCACTCAGAGCTTTAAATCGCCAAGGTCTGAGGGTCACTGCCACTGCGCAGACGTAAATTAACAAGTCCCATATGTCTGTAATTTCCCCAGCACTCTTACCCTTCAAAACCAGAACACAGTAACGCTGACATTACTGCTTGGTTGCAGAAATAGATAAGTTGGCAGTACTTCCCTGGACAAACTCTTTCACAAGGAGTTCTACTAGCGATGTAAATATAACTATGACAGCCATAAAAACAAAGTTTCAGTGGTCTAGCTACTCTTTCTTGCTGCTCAAATAAACAGAAATCAATACTGTCAAAACAGTATCGGAACCTTTTTAAGAATTTGTTTCATAATCCAATCGATATGACAAACAAATGTAAAACTTAATCGGATTTCTTTTAGTAGATACTTGATTGATCTGGCTCAATCAACGTAGTGCATTAGGTATGGCTTTTAAGGTTGAAAATAATTATTGCAATAGTTATTTACTTAACCTACCTCTCTATGCCTATAAAGATGACTACCAATAAAATGCAAAAATAAAAAATAACACCCACCTACAACATTTTTCTATAATATTATGCTACCAAAAGTTATGTTACACGATGGCTGTGTTAGTGTATAATTCTATATGAGTATTGAAATTGCAAACACTATAATTTCTCTCAGTAAGTGTCAACAAAGCCCGACATTGTAATTACGCCCGCATATTTAAGCGATAATTTTAATACGACAAAAAGAAACTCGACAATTGTCAACAATGTCATATATTTGAGTTTCACCGCAACTGGGACTTTATTTGTACAGCCAATTTAAAATGATCTGTGACAAAATAATCTTCACAAGCAACTGTTAGTCAATGTCTATAGTAATTTTCTTTTTTATCAACTGACAAAAAGAGTAAGTTAATAGATCGAAACTTTAAAAATATACTATACAGGTTTAGCTTAGATAGTAATCGAGACATAATACCTAAGCAAGGCGATTGATTATACTCAGGGTTATTAATAAAAGACAAAAACCTCGCGGGACTATATTTGTAACATAATAAACAACACATTTTATTCTTTGGTGTTTTACGAAACTTAATAAATTTACCAAAAAGAAACTTTTAAGTTTTTGTTGTACTGTCACTTTGCACCGAGTGCTGACATTCATAAAAATAATTTTTGGGATGTGTACTTTCTTTCGCTACCACACCGAGTTATCACCATTTAAAGTGATCTATTTAGATATTTTTATTTTTGTGCGAAACTAATATCTGATGAATTATTAAAACTCAATAATGAAACAAAAATTTTTGTTTATGATGTTAGTTAATCCGATGTTGTTAGTATATTACAACTAACCCGTAGCTGTAGAGCTTGTGAAAGTTGAAAGGTAAGGGTGCTGGTGAAATTACAGGCACAAGAGACTTGTCAACTTGTATCTCAAATTGACGGACGCGGTGGCAGTGGCCCTCAGATCTTTAATTTAAAGCTCTAAGTGGCACTGCAACTGTTATGAACAAGCATGTAGCTTACTTCAGGCGCACGACTTGTTCGTCCCGTGACTAGATATTATAAAAAAACCCTGTATAAACTCTTTGTTTACTGAATTCATATGTCCTGCATAACTTATAAACCAATATCGCTGTGGCGTTTACAGCAAGAGCGACTTTTCAAAAAGTCGCAGATCACAATACATCGGTAGTACTATAATAAAAACGTCGCAGAGTTGCGTACGCGGTGATTAAGCGATCATTAAGGCGTCGTTAGACCAATACGGGAACCGCGTGGTTTCTCCGTGTGACTCTATATGGCACTACACCGTGGAAACTTTATGAAGTCGCTATGAAAAATTACCATTTCCTTATGTGAATTTTCTCATATCCATAAATACTTTTAAAGCTCTTTGTACTGCCGCCAAAGCTATTCCTTTATATTGTATTACATTGTATTACAGTGTTCCTATTCTGAAGGGTTGAGGGTCCTTGTGAAACTACAGGCACACGGGAATCGACAATTTTCTCTACTGTGTGCCTATATCGATTTCTATTATACTAAACACTTTTTAACCAACTTCAAAAAAGGAGGAGGTTTTCAATTTGACTGTATATTTTTCTATGTATGTTACGCGATAAGTCCTTTTTGTTTTTTTTTTTCGAATTTGTGAACCGATTTTGATGATTTTTGTTGGAAGGAGAATACGTCAATATTTAAATTTGAAGGAAATATTCCAAGCGTGTAAGCGTGGCAAACTAGGAGATGAATCCGGATTCGCTTACTTTCCGGTAACTGATTTCATAAAACTTGACAAATAGACAGATATCACGAGCTTTTGAGGTCGGTTTTTTAGGAGGTACTCTATGCTGAGATTATTGAGATAAAGAGTTTGCACAATTAAATTTAATTTACATGACAGCTATTTTGTTGTTATAATTTTCAATAGTCTTCAGTTCGTTTAGAAATTGTCAAGAATTGCTCATATACGTACAAAAACATTCCCACCCAATGTGATAGTCTTTGCAGATGACTGAATTACTTAAAACGCTCTAAGTTCTGTTTAATATTACCATAAAATGGCCAACATCTTGTTGTTATGTAACATAGGCTTTTTTAATTAGTTAACACCAATAACCTAAAGGTGATTTATATTTGCCTACAACTAAGACGTGTCAGGTAATCTTATGGAGATAAAGAATTGTGAAAAAAAGACTAAGGGAATTTTTTAAACAGTCCGGTATTTATTATGGTCCATTTGCGACCAGAGAGAAATGTCAACTTTACGATTCCAAGAGTTTTCATAACTGCAGTACACATTTTATTGGCTGTACAAGTCGTTACTTAAACTTTCTAGAGCATTTATTTATTGCTACATTATTGTAATAATTTACGAGACGCGCTGTGGACGATTTTATAAATGCGTAATTGGAGATAGTAATTAAATTTTTATACTCATGTACCAATTGAAGAAGACCTTTAAAATAATGCGAGCGGAAAATTTATGTGTTTCGTAATGTATAAATAGTGTCAGTCAATATTATAATTTATGATTTCTATAAATAAAACCTATTAAATCGATGAGCCTCTTATGAAAATCAAGTGTCCGGTCTAATCTTTAATTTCTATAATAGAATTAAAAATGAACGCAAACAAAATATCTATTATTAAAACGGAATGTGTAAACATTCCGTCTCCAGCCGTGCGGTGTGTGGCGGGAGGAAGGCGTCCAGTTGCGCGTCTGCGGGGGGCCTAAAGTGCGACTTTTTGTCGCTGTAAGCCCTGTTTATGTCTCCGTTTAAATACCTATATTGCCTCATATGGCGAGTGTGTTTTGTGATTATTGAGAGGTAAAATTGGCATTGCTTATGGATTGTAAAGAAACGTGGCATTGTTATGAATACTTACTTGTATTCTAGCTTCTGTTAGGCCAATTTTTAGAGCAAGTTCTTCTCTGTAACAAAGGAGAAACATTCAATTCATTGAAAAACAACACGTTCAACAACAATCAAACAATCGTTTTTCTAACAAACGTTAGAAAAACGATTAGGATAAATTCAGTTAGACAGTAGCGGCTCCATGTTTTTTTTTTTCATTTATTTTCCAACACAAAATTGTATACATTTATCGTTCTTAAGTGTAACCTACCTACTGCAATCCCTTTAACGGGTTTATACGTAAGTGGCTACACTCATCGAACAACACCATAGCGCGTTATTTTTGAAAATCTAAAATAAACAATAAACTAAATTAAGAGAAATAATGTTTAACAAGAGAAATTGTAACTATTACTACTAATCGTAAGTCATATACATGTATATGACTTACGACTTATTTTGTCAAATATACTTAGAATGTGTGAGCAGCCTTGGTGTAGTTTGTTTATTTTCATAGATATATGGACAAAACGGTCTTGATTATTCTTAATAGGTACTCCAATATATAAACTTACCTCGTAAAAACATCCGGATAATGCGTCCTTCCAAAAGCTTTTTCCAGCTCATCCAACTGGTAACTTGTGAAAGTAGTCCTATACCGCCTCTGCTTCCGGCGTGGTAGATCTTCGTCGTCCATTCCGCTGCCGGAGCCGGGGCGTTCAGGATCGTGGGGAGGCAGGTCTGGGGTCGTGGAAGAACCAGGTTCAGAGACGCCCATTGTTGGCAATATCCTGTGTAGGAAATGTTTTTTTTATTGATTTCGTTTTGTCAACATCTCACAACCATTTCATATGTAAAAAATAGGTAAGGTGGCAGTACTTCCCTGGAAAAACTCTTTCACAAGGAGGTTTACTGCTTTTGTTACTAAAACGAATCTAAGAAGAGAAAGTGTAATAAAGTAATCATAAAAATAAGTACGTTTTGTTTTATATATTTAGTGCTTGCTTTGTAATTTTTTTTTATTTTATGAAATTATATATTATATTCCCTAACATATGAACATTAATTTAATAAAGGAAATTACAAGAAATATATGTTGTGATGGACAAAAAAACGTTAAAAACCGATAGATTCCTGACGGACGCTGTAATTTGAACGTTAATGCAATAATGAGGGCCCTCGCGTCATACGCAATTAACCATGTATCGGGTTTCCCATCTAAATTACAATATGCAAACATCCGCAAAGATGCGGTACAAGGGATAAGATATATGCTTGTTGTATTCCCATTGTGTATAATGGGAAATATATATATGTGAAGGTTAGTGAGCGGGCAAGTTGGTAAGGAAGAATTGATGGATCTATCTTTATTAATTGGTATATACACGGACGGGACCCCTAAGAGGAATACATGCTGGAAAATAAGGCTAAAAAAATGTTGCTGTGGATGAATAAAAAAAACAAACAAGATAAAATATAAATGACTCTAAATAATATGGTGGAATTACAGGCGCATGTGACTTGTTAACTTATATCTTTGCGATTTAAAATAAAGCTCTGAGTGGCTCTGCAACTACTACGGACAGGCCTGTAGCTTAACATCATGTGCACGATTTGTTCGTATGACAAAAATGTATATATAATAACAGTTATTGTAAACTATCTACCTAAGTACTTAACGATAACAATTAATTAATAATTTACCTCTTTATTACCAAAATAAATCTACCAGTTAGTTTATCTAGAGACCTACCATACCATACCTTTTGCATGACTTATACCAATCATTGTCGGAATTATGTTGAAAAAATATTTTATTACTAAGCACGTTGTATTTAATATTATGTTTATATTAAGGAGGTTATAACATGTGATATATATTAAAATTTATTTTAATAATATAATTTATAATAGTCTACAAAAGAAAAACGGGGCGAACCTATCGACTTAGCAATCTATCTACGTTACTTGGAAATATTTTTTTTTTCTTCGAGAACAAAAAATGCTTTCGCCAATGTCACGGCTCGATACACTTGGCTTGCGAACTTACGCACTGTAATAAAAAATATTCATAATATCCTTAATTACTACCCGTGTTATTGGATTTTCAAATTTCTTCTAATAACCTATTGTTTAGAACACAATAAGTCGTAAAAATATTATTTAGTCGTAATTCGTTTTACGATTCACATAACGTTGTACAAACGTAACGCTTATACGTGGTGTTATTAAACGTCTCCTTTCTAGACCCGGCTCTTCCCTAGGGAAAGTTTTCTAGCAGTCTTTCGTCCTACCTCAATGCGGGATTTGACAATTTTAGTAGGAGTAGAGCTCTTTGTGAATGAGTTGGTCCAGGCAAGAACTGCCACCTTATCTATTACTGCCGACAAGCAGCAGATGAGGATTAATGCGTGCCGATTTTGAAGGGTCAAGGGTGCTGGTGAATTTACAGGCATATGAAATTTGTCAACTTATGTCTCAGGGTGACAGACGCAGTGCCCGTCAGATCTTTGCAAACTCTGAGTGTCACTACAACTGTTACTGTCGTTTACTACCGGGCGCACGACTTGTTAGTCCCGTTACTTGGTATTTAATTTTTTTTTTTTTTTTAATTAAAAATGGACGAACTCTTGACCACTACCTAGCCCTAGAGCAAAGATGAGGTCTACGTTGGTACGAGCTCGCCCAGGAGATGCCTATTCAATCGCACCTTGAAAATATTCGGGTTGTATGTACTCGGAAAAATAGACGCAGGCAGGGAATTCCAGTTAATAATACAATATTTTCTTAAATCTTCTTCTTTGAGCTTCCACTGCATCGCGTACCATTCCTTTCGTACCACCATTCCTTACCAATTCTTTAATCATATACCAGATCGCTTTAAGCCTCTTCCATTAATCGGTTTTAAAAAAGAATTGTGTAAGGGATTTTAGATCATTTGTTCTACTCAGTTGACGATTTTATGAAATAAAAAGACTAATTGCATCATTTCTTTACAATTATTTATTTATCTAATCTTTACAGCATATCCTGTATCAATTAATTTAATTTAATAATGCATTATTTAGTTGTTTATTATTATTTTGCGTGAATTTTACCATCAATAATTTTAACACCATTTATAATTTACCCTACCCTATTCAAAGCGAATACACGAATTTGAATTTGAATTCAATTCAATATGTTTATTTGCATTCCACAATGGTATACATAGTATTTTATAGACCCTCTCGGGCGCAACAAAGTAGAAGTGAAGAGTGTAAGTGGGCTGTTTTCGTATTTACCTTTTTAACCGACTTCAAAAAAAGGAGGAGGTTCTCAATTCGACTGTATGTTTTTTTTGTATGTATGTTACGCAATAACTCCGGTATTTGTGAACCGATTTTCATGATTATTTTTTTATTGGAAAGAGGGTACGTCCCATAGTGGTCCCATTTCATTTTGAAGAAAATCATCCACCTCTAAGGGTGATTGATTACGCATGAACATTCATTTTTATAAATAGCGCCTAAATTTTACTTAAGGAGCAATTATTTTAATGGTTGATTTTGCTATTCTCCAATTCAAGGCGTTTTTCTCTCAATATACTTTGAGTAGTGAGAACCGATTTTTATTATCTCCTGTATCAAGTCCTGTATAGTGGCGAACTAGGGGATATTTGAATAAAACTTGGCAAATAGATGTAATCCTATGTACTTTTGAGGTTGGTTTTTTAGTACTCTGTACTGAGTTTATTTTTATTAAAAGGTTCTGTTCAGGAATTCATTAATATCAAAATAACATTTATTTATTAGCAAGTCGGATCTTTGTATCTGGTTTTTAACGACTTTCTAGCCGTAGGGCCTTCTACGAGAAATCTATGAATATGATACAAGAAAATACGAAATCTTTTAGGTTAAAAAAAAAATGCTATCCTTGGTTTCAATTTTCAGTACATCAGGCAGTTTATTATAAATTTTTATGGACATGATGTATGGGCTAGAGGAATGAAGGGTTAATCTAGATACAGGAAGCATTAATCTATTTTTTAGCGCATTAAATGTTTTATAAATTCCTGTACGTCTGATACACCCTGGGCAACAACCGGTGTGTAACTTACGCCGATTGGTAAATAATTTTACCGCGATGGCAAACATTATAATATAAGCCATGGATACAAATACTCTGACTTCTGACTTGAAGACTTCTGACTCTGCGAGATTTCACTTACTATGTAAGAAAATTTAATTTCTAAACTTGCCTTGGAACTCAATTTACTTTAAATAATCAGGATGGTCTAATATTGGAAGTAAGTCTATTGAATATGACGATATTTTACTGCTATGGTATTATATTTTTTGTGAAATTACTCCACAAGTTTGTTATAATTATTAATACAAAGATCGAGCACTAAGAAAAATTCCTTCGATCCTGTTGACATCGAATTCCCTTCAGCATATCGTGGCTGACGCTCTCTCAACTGAGCTACGGAACGAATCAGCAGATCTTACGAATTTCTGAGTCCTAGTTGCAGATCTTTGTTTTTAAATGACTTCTTTTTTTGGTATGTATGTTACGCGATAACTACGGGTTGATGATTTTTGTTGTAAAGAGGGTGCCTCGGGAGTGGTCTCATTTAAATTTGAGAAAACGTTCTACCTGTAAGGATGGCAAACTAGAGGATGTTGATGCGTACTTTCTGGTAACCGATTAAATAAAACTTGGCAAATATATGTAATTCCACGAAATTTTGAAGTCTGTTTTTTTAGTGCTTTGTGCTGAGATTCTTAATTTTAACGCCTTTTTGCCGTTGCGCCATCTGTGAGAAATCTATGAAAGTTTTTCTTCACTCAGCCATGTATCCACTCCATGGTCTAATATTTTTGTTATTTTAAATGTTTTCATATAACAGAACTATCAAGTCGAGCTACCGATCCGTTGTCTACCGGAAAGTTTTTTTCCAAAATTGCATAATTTCACAGCAAAAGAAAGATTTCGTTTTCGTAATAAAAATCACTCAAGTGTAAATCTATTCGTAGATAGTCTTATAACATTGTAAGAAAGCTATTATGATACTTTTCTGCGTTAATACGTGGGTAAGTAAGAATTTATAACTCTGATGTGTAAAGTACACCACATCATGACTACTTTGTTGGTTATTTGATTAATTGTTCACAATTTACAATTCAACGATCCTTCACGTACAGCCTACAGCACATCAAGCTTTTATTCGAATATCGCCTCCAGTGCAACGGAGGCAATATGCGAACATCCGATTCGAGCATCCGTCAATGTGTAGCTTGCTGTGCTGACGTTTATACATATATGGAATTAAATCTACTAAACACCTAATTTTAAACACATTGTCCTATGTACATTATGCAAAAATGATATATTAGACGAATCGCGTTTCGGAACATGCCACTATTTTTTTTTATTCAAAAGAAAAACCTTATCTTCGGATGTGTTCTGAATTTATACTTCATCAATTTTTATTCTTATAATTTTGTGTAATTATTGAAATATAAATAATAATAACAAATAAACAAGGTTATCGTTCTCGATTTAATGTCAACAATAATAAGAATAAAATATACCAACGGATTTATATAACGTAAATAATAATGTAATGTAAAAAGTTTTTTTTTTCATCGAAAGAAAAAGTTGGATGCACCATAGTCCATCGTCAAGTTCGAATTTCAAAAACCTTTCCCACGTTACCGTGGAAAAAACGCCTTTGCGCGCAGAAAGAAAGCTTTTCCTAAGCTAGTGAGGTGAAAAATATTTTTTTTATATAATCGAAAGAGCGTGT